CTGACGGTGGGTCACCTGGTTTCAGAACACCCTGCAGCCCGAAGAGCCGCTCTCCACCAGTGACCCCCGGGTCAGCCCCCGCCTCTCGAGAGCCAGTTTCCTCTTCGGCCAGCTGCTCCAGGTGAGGCCTCGGGCGCCGGCGGCTCCTCAGCCCCTGGCCCTGCCCCTCCCGTCCAAGTGACCTGGCAGCCGGCGGTCGGCAGGCTCTGCGCCTGCGGAAAGCAATGTCGCTTTCCTAAGAGGTTGGGGGAGCTCGTGGCTGGAAGCTCAGCCTCTGCTAAGCAGTAACAGAAATCGGAAGCCATGTCCCAGGAAAGGGAAGCACGTTGCTGTTGTCCGGGTCAGGGTGTCCCTCGGGCTGAGCGTCCCATTTCTCCCTGAGCCGCTCACAGCCGAGGGCGACGGGAACCAGCAGATCCTCAAACCTTATCTAACCACCGAGCTATTTCAGCTCCTCAGGACCAAATGATCTTCCCTTATACTTAGTTCTACAGGGACTTTTTTTTCATGGATCATTATCCAAGGGCCATAGAGTAGCCAGTGGGGGTGTCCCGTGAAATCAGAAGTGGTTTCACACACACACGGGGAGCAGTTCCATGTGGCTGTCCCCGCGGTCACAGGCGACAGAGCTGAGGGAGCAGCGCTAAGCTGGGCCTGCGGGTCGGGGCGTATGCAGGCGCTGCGCTAACGTGTCCCTCCAGCGCTCTGTCCTGCTGTTGGGACACGGGGGACCCAGAGACACGGTGAACGGTGTGACCCTAAAGCCCAGGGGATGCGGACAGGTAGCAGGAAGTCCCTGGCAGAGGTAGCAGGGAACCCTGCTGGGCCTGAGGCATCCTGGGGGCAGGACCACACGGGAGCACACGTTACGGCCACGTGTCAGCAAGCTGATGTCCAGGGGCCGCTTGACAGCAGAGCAGACAGAAATCCCAGCTCCCCGACTCCCCTCCCGGCAGAGGAGGGTGTGGAGAGACACAGAGTGTCCGGGGGACATGGTGGGAGCCTGGGTTCTGTGCCCACCATGGGGCAGCCCTCTCGGCCCCCCACACCTCATCCCTGAACTTGGGAGGGAGCAGGTCCTCCTGGAGGAGCCGAGGACAGCAAGGCAGAGGTGCAGAGAGCAGTGCCCGGGATATGGGGCCTGGGTTGTCCACCAGCGGGCTCCCAGCCAGGGCCTTCAGCGGCCGGGCACCCCTGGCCCCAGCGCCTGCGGAGGCCGCACCTATGGTCTGCAGGATGCAGGCAGGACCGCAGGAGGAGTCCCCGGCTCCAAGCCTGGGCCAGGAGCGAGTGGGCGCCTGTCCACTTAGTTACCTAATGACACCCACGCACAAGGACCGAAGGCCTGCGGGCACCTCCTGTGTCCCCAGGGGAGGTGGGGACCGGGCCTGGGCAGGCTGGGACCTGGACAGAGGTCTGCCGGAGTCGGGCTGAGAGCGGGGGCGGGTTAGACGCGAACCGTCGACAGCCGTGTGCGCCCTCCACCCCAGTTCGTCAGCAGGTCGGAGAACAGGTACAAGAGGATGAACAGCAACGAGCGCGTGCGCATCGTGCCCGGGAGCCCGCGCGGGGGCCTGGCCCGGCCCTCCATGGACGCCACCAAGCTCCTGGCCGACAGGCAGGAAGGTAA